CGGTTCAATTCAGGATCAGGGCACATGCCTGGGTTGCAGGCTCAATCCCCATAGGGGACGTGCAGGAGGCAGCTGATCAATGATTCTCTCTCATCATTGATGTTTCTATCTCCCCCTCTCCCTTCCTCTCTCTAATCAATAATATATATAGTATATGAACTAGTCACATCTTCCTTAAATTACAAAAAAAGGAGGTATCCTGAAGTTGTAGTCTTTTTTATTTTATTTTTAAATATATCTTTATTGATTTCAGAGAGGAAGGAAGAGGGAGAGAGAGAGATAGAAACATTAATGATGAGAGAGAATCATTGATGGGCTGCCTCTTGCAAGACCCCTACTGGGGACAGAGCCCGCAACCCGGGCATGTGCCCTTGACTTGAATGGAACCGGGGGCCCTTCAGTCTGCAGACCAACGCTCTATCCACTGAGCCAAACCACTAGGGTGAAGTTGTAGTCTTTTAAATGTGCCTCTCCTCTGCAAAGTCTGTATAGAAGCCAGTGCTTTCCCCTGGTAGTTCTGCTCTTCCCCCAGGGTTTTGGCAGGCCACTAGGTCTTGTCTTCCTGTAAGTTTTTCCTTCTGCTGGTACTAGGGTATAAAACTGAGAATGCAGTGGTGTTCCTGTTAAACAAAACATTTTCACAGCTGAAAGCTTTTCTGAAGGAACGGTTTATGTAGTAGCGAAAATGCTAGCTAGAAGGGACTAGGTCCTGGTGCATACAGACTGAACTAGCAGAAGCAGGGCTGGGTGAAAACAATAAACATGCCCTCTGTCCTGGAGTTGATGGATGCTTTGTTGCAGTTTGGGGAAGAAATAGGTACGTTGTTTTGAAAAAACGTTTACATTAGCTACAGATAGAGGGAACAGGAGAAAATGAAGCAGGGTTAGTTCTGGGAGAGGTTCAGTCCTTAAGGAAAACGTTTTTGCTCCTTTGGATTGGTGGTGGGCAAGAATCCAAAGTTCATGTGTAAGCAAAAAGCTGGAGTGCATGCTGGTCAGTGGTGTCTGGCTATTCTCTTTAGTTAATGGAGGAAATAGCCACCTGGAAATGAATTCAAACATTCAACATACATTCAGTAAGTAGTCTTTTGTTGGGTTTGCCCTGCATTTTTTTTAAATTTATTTTTCAATTACATTTTACAGTCGATATTATTGTTATTAGTTTCAGATATACAACATAATGGTTAGACAATCATATACTTTACAAAATGTTCCCCCCAATATTTCCAGTACCTACCTGGTTCCATAGTTATTACAATACTAGGGGCCCAGTGCACGAATTCGTGCACCTTGAAAGGAACTGTGGGCTGCAAGGCTGCAGTGGGCAGGGGTGGGTCTTGGCCCATCCTCCACGCCCCTGACTGGTCCCTCCCACCACGGCCCCAGGTCCCCTATCCACCAGCAGCCCCACTCCCACCGCCACCGCTCCCATGCGCTGATGGCACCGGCCCCATTCCCACCCACTGACAGAGTGATTGGGGCTGGTGCCAGCAGCAGGTGCAAGCGGCAGCTGCTGCCCCAATTGCCCCTCAGGAGCAGGAGGTGGAGAAGCCCTCAGGGGCAATTGGGGCTGGCACCGCTGCTTGGTGCTGAGCGTTCAAGGCCAGTGCCAGCAGCAGGTGCGAACACTGGGCGGGACTGGGGCACGTGGGAGCAAAGGATTTTCAGTAACCACCAAAGGCTTGCCACGATGATAGCAACTGGTGCCCCATTTGGTCTGGTGTCCCCGCTCACCTGCTCCACCATCCCACCATAGTGACGCCCGCCATGTTCCGTGTTCTGCTGCCTGCTGCCAATGCCCGCCATGTTCCACATGCACCCCCTGGTGGTCAACACACGTCACAGCAACTGGTTGTTCCGCCATTAGGTCTATTTGCATATTAGGGTTTTATATATATAGTTGACAATATTCCCTATGCTGTATTTTACATCCTCATGACTATTTTGTAACTACCAATTTGTACTTAATCCTTCATGTTTTTCACCCAGTCCCACAACTTCCTTCCCATCTTTCCACTATATATTGCCCTGGCCAGTGTTGCTCACTGGATAGAGTGTCAGCCTGTAGACTGAAGGGTTCCGGGTTCGATTCTGGTCAAGGGCACATACCTCGGTTGCAGGCTACTCCCTGGCCTGGGCCAGACCCTGGTTGAGGCTTGTTCAGGAGACAACCAATGTGTTTCTCTCACATCAATGTTTCTCTCTGTCTTTCTCTCTCTCATCCACTCTCTCTAAAAATCAATGGAAAAATATTCTTGGGTAAGGATTAACAAAAAAAAAAATAAAAATAAATTTTTCTTATTGATTTCAGAGAGGAAGGGAGTGGGAGAGTGTCAGAGCTCAGCCAGATGGTGCTCTGAGTTGTTCTGGGTCCATGCATTCTCCTAACTTCTCCCATTCGACTACGCCAGGGCAGGTCCCACTTGATCCCTGCCCATTGTACTAACTGTTGGGAACTTAGTCCAAGTTCCTTTTTTATCTTCTGCTCACAAAGACACACGTCAATTCTCTGCAGTGGGGCAGATGGAGAAGCCATGAGAAGTTGTGGATATATAAGAATGAGTCTATTGCAGAAGTCAGTGGCCACATGGCCATCAGACAAGACAGTCCTTTACACAAAGTCCATATAGGCAGCCAGCTGGACACCAGCTGGTGAATACATATCTTTCTCACATACTAGTATGGATCTCTGTACCCACAATCCTTGTCTGAGCAATTGCACGCTGCCCCAGACTCACCGCCTCACTTTATAGCGGCACCTGCACTCTCCCTGAGAGCTACAGCCTCAGTAATCTCTCTGGCCCAGCAGTTTCTCCTGTCTCCCCTGCCCAGCACACTGGCTGGTTAACATGGTAGCTATATCTGAGCTCTCTATGAGCTCTTAGCCTTACATCGTAGCAGTATCAGCTCTCAGCTCCGTCTGAGCTCTCTAGCTTCTCCTGCACACATAGGAGCTACATTCTCTGTGTCTACTGCCTCTGCTTCTCTGAGATTTCTGGCCTCTGCTCTGCTGCTCTCTCTGCTCTGTCTAGCAGACTCCTGGTCAGTAACCTGTATATTACTCCAGAGACAAAGAAAGCTTTGTGCCAACAATGACATCAATCATATTTTGGTTATAGAAGGGCACAGTGTACTGTGTGTCCTTGCACCTGCAGTATCTTGGCCTGATTGAGATTCCCAGGCTCAGAGTCCTTGAACATCCCATGTAGGCACATGCCCAGAGCAGCCTTTGGCCATTCTAGTGTATTGATAACAAGGCCTCTGTGCTCCTACCGGCCTTGACTATCCAGGAACCTGATGTGGTTCCCACAGAGAGAAAGGGAGAGGGAGAGAAACATCAATGATGAGAGAGAATCATTGATTGGCTGCCTCCTGCACGTCCCCTACTGGGGATCAAGCCCACAACCTGGACATGTGCCATGACCAGGAATCAAACCATGACCTCCTGGTTCATAGGTAGATGTTCAACCACTGACCCACACTGGCTGGGCTTTCCATGTACTTTTTAACTGAGTATCCGCTCTTATCTCTTCCTTCCACCCTCTGGCTTGCTGTAATTTAATTTAGGACATCTAAGAATTTTCTCCTTGTCACTTGGATGGTGGCTACCAGCACACTTTCGCCATGCAATGTGAACTTGGGTGAAATGTGGGCCTCCAATGAGGGTGGGGATTAAAAAAACCTCATTGACAAAGGCAAAGCAGGATGGTATGTACCCAAGAATGGGTGTTTTTTAAATAACAAGGTCCACACTTTCACAGGATATTTTAAAGGAGCACTTATGCCCAAACACTTACAAAAAATAAGAAAAGTATTTTTCTTAGAACTGATAGGGTGAGGCCAAAAGTGAGAAAGGAGTGTTTGGCATGCCATAGCACATTTGGCTCAGTGGATAGAGCATCAGCCTGTGGACTGAAGGGTCCCAGGTTCGATTCTGACCAAGGGCACATGCCTGGGTTGCAGGCTCAATCCCCAGTAGGGGGCATATAGCCGATCAATGATTGTCTCTTATCATTGATGTTTCTCTCTCACTCTTCCTCTCTGAAATCAATAAATATATTTTTAAAGAGTTCGGCCTAATAAATTCACTCTTATTCTGACCTTTTCTGTGCCCCCCCCCCCAATTCAGAATCACTGAAACCTCCAATGTGGCCCCTAAGCTTGCCCCTGTTGAACAAACTCAAAAAGTCTGGAGGCTTTGCTAGAAATAAATAATATGATTTATTTAAGGGTATTAGAGTTTACAAACTGGAAACACTGCTAGGAAACAGCCAGTCTTCCGAAACAGAAGAAAAATGAAAAGCTAAGTGTCTTATAGTAAAAGGTACATTCTTGAGAAGAATCAGTCCTGTGTTCTTAGCCTCTGGATTAGTCCAAGACGGTAATGCTCTAGATGACCAGTGGTTTGGATACATGAAAATCCATTTCTTAATCCTTCAGGGGTTAATCAGAGGGTTATCTGGAGGTTTGATATATATACAGGCATTGACACAGGACTGAAAAGTTCATAACTTTAGGTTCTCAGCCTACTTAAGACAAGAATAGAATAGTTTCCTCATACCTTAACCTACTTGATATTAGTAATTAGCAGCTTGATTATAGTGACTCCATTTTATTTTTTACTTCATTCCTACTTTCCCCCCTTTGATTAGGATTTTTCTCTCAGAAGCCATCATAGATCAAACAAAACATTTTAAAGCCCCTTGATGCCAAGGAGACAATGCCTTTCTTGGGTCCATTATGTTCCTTGTAGGGGGGATTTGGGCAAGAGACATGCTTGTCATATATGAGTTTATATTCAGCTCAATATTTGTGCCAGTTTTTATGTTGAAGCCTTAGGATAGGTCCAATCAGGACATTATTATTACACTAGAGGCCCAGTGCATAAAATTCATGCACAGGTAGGGTCCCTAGCAGCTGCAGGCTATCAGCCGGGGCCTCCCTTCCCTGGCTGCCGGCTGCCAGTTGTGGCCTTCTTTCATTCTGCACCACCCCCTGGTGGTCAGCACACATTATAGCAAGCGATCAAACTCCGGGTCAGTTGAACTCCTGAGGGGACACTTTGCATATTAGGCTTTTATATATATAGATATAAGTTGTAAAACCAGTCTCAGTCTTGAAAACAGTTCAGTTGAACAGTTGTCTCATTTCAGGAGGCGATGATGCAGGTGGTTCCCAAAGATAGGCCTAATGTACAAGCCATCTGGTATTTACTAAGAGGCATCCCTATGGAGACAAAATGATAAACAATGGTTATTCATCGATGCAGAGTATAGTTCCAGTTTCTCATTCCTGAAGGCTGCCAGTCAAAACAATTTCTATATGGTTGAAGAATCTTTAGGTGGAGTAAAGGGGTGGTGGTGGGAGTGACAGTCTGATAGATTGTAATATAAATGTCTCTGGTGATTTTTTTCTGCAACTGGCATTGATATTGTCCATGTATGAAGTGTTATGATTACTCTGAAGTTTATATTAAGTTGCTTCACTTTAACTGCTTGGCTCTTGGAAAAGGGCAGTTTTAATTCTCAATGAATGCAATTCAGAAGGGTGGGAGAGAAATTGGAAATGTTTGGAGAGTCAGGCAGATGTTATAGGAAACAAGAATAATTCTGGATCCAGTCCAATTTGCAGGTAGGAAAATAAAAACCTCCAAATATAACGAACAGCACTAGAATCTAATATCCAAAAAGGTGTAGTACTGAAACATGATTTTTCAAAAGTCTCACTCATTTTTACAAAAGATAGCCAAATTAAGAGTAAGGTGTTTCCAAAATATGCCTATTTTTTAAAAAGTTTCTGCTATTTTTATAGATGCAACAAAATTAGTCATTATAGGCTTTAAAAAATCTGCTTTGCTGGAATTTTTCTTTTTTAAAAAATATATTTTTATTGATTTCAGAGAGGAAGGGAAAGGGAGAGAAACACCAATGACGAGAATCACTGACTGGCTGCTTCCTGCAGGCCCCCTACTGGTTGAATTGAGCCTGCAACCCGGGCATGTGCCCTTGACCAGAATCAAACCTGGGACCCTTTCAGTCCACAGGCCGGTGCCCTATACACTCAGCCAAACTGGCTAGGGCTGGAATTTTTCATAAGGTATCTTCAGATTGAATTTTAATTTTATTTTAGTTAATCTTCACCTGAGGATATTTTCCCATTGATTTTTAGAGAGAGTGGAAGGGATGGGGAGAGACAAAGAGAGAAAAATTGATGTGAGAGAGACACTTTGATTGGTTGCCTCCCACACATCCCCTGACCAGGGCCAGGGAGCCTGCAACTGAGGTATGTGCCCTTGACTAGAATCAAACCTGGGATCCTTCAGTCCACTATCTCCTAGGCAAAACCAGCTAGGGCCAATTGTCCTTCTTGATATTTTTACTAAAAGGAGTTGAAAACTTATATCCACACAAAGCCCTGCACATGGATGTTTACAGCACTTTTTCATAATTGCCAAAACTTAGATGAAACTAAAATGTCTTTCAGCAGGTGAATGGAAAAATAAATCCAGTGGTCGGCAAACTCATTAGTCAACAGAGCCAACTATCAACAGTACTTCTTCAAAATAGATTCGCTCAGGCTGAAAACAGACTTTTCTGTGCATGGGCCATGTAGTTTCAATCGTACTGTACGTGCGCCCCCATGTGGTATTTTGTGGAAGAGCCACACTCAAGGGGCCAAAGAGCTGCATGTGGCTCGCGAGCCGCTGTTTGCTCACCATGGGTATAGTCAGACAATGGAATGTTACACAGTACTAAAAAATGAGCTATCAAGACATGAAAAGACATGGAGGAACCTTAAATGTATATTACTAAGCAAAAGAAACCAATCTGAATGGGTTACATACTGTATAATTCCAAGTATAAAACATTCCAGAAAAGGTAAAACTATGGAGATAGTAAAAAGATCAGTGGCTTCCAGAGGTTGAGAGCAGAGGGATGAATAGGCAGAGCATAGAGAATTTTCAAGGAAGTGAAATACTCTGTATGATATTATAATTATGAATAAGTCATTATATTCTGTTGTTACCCATCGAATATATTACATCAAGAGTGAACAATACTAGTAATGTAACTGTGGACTTTGGGCGATTGCCTGTCAATTTGGGCTCATTCATTGTGACATCATTTGTGCCACCCTGGAAGGCAATATTGATTATAGAGTAGGCTATGCATGTACAGGCAGGGGGAAGATGAGAAAACTCTGTAACTTCCTCTCAATTTTGCTGTTAACTTAAAACTGCTCATTAAAAAGTCAACAAACTTAGTATTATCAATAGTGAATGGGACAGACTGCCACTCAATACATCCTTCCGCTTCCTCCTCGCTTTCTCTGCCATTGTGGTGCATGCGGTTGATTCTCCTTCACCACATCTTCTCACAAGACTTTTGGGATCAAGAGGTTCCTGGCCAAGAAACAAAAGCAGAATCGGCCCATTCCCCAGTAGATTCGGATGAAAACTGGTAATGAATTCGGGTACAACTACAAGAGGAGACATCGGAGAAGAATCAAACTGGGTCTATAAAGAATCCAACATGAGAGACAGCTCACATATTTATGCGGTATCCAAGTTGCCTGCACCTTTAAATGACTGAAAAGATCACTACTGTCTGGACAGTTGGGCACTTTAATTGGAAAATTATTGGAAGCATGATCTTTCTTCCTGCAATAGTAGGTTGGTTCAGTAATAAATGTGAGACCTTTTAAAAATAAAAATACTACTACTACCGCTACTGCTACTACTGCTACTACTACTACTACTACTATTAATGATGATGATGATGATGATGATGATGATGAATGGGACAAAACTGGCATTTTGTGCCTTCTTACGCAATGCAATAACAAGGACCACAGCATCACCTATGTAGTCTTCTTGCTGAAAATGCTTAAATTAATTACAGGAAAACAGACAAGTTCAGACTGTGGAACATAGGCAGCACAATCATCTGGATTCATCAGAAATGCCAATGTTATAAAAAATGAAAAGAAAAAGATAGTAAGCTTCTACACTAGGTTAAAAGAAACTAAAAGGGGTATGACAACTACAAAGGAAATTGTTAGGACAATTGGGGAACTTTGATATAAACAGTATATTGGATAACAGTGTTGAATTACTGTCCAATTTCTCTGAGTGTGACAATAGTAATGCCCCTGTTTTTAGGAGACAAACACTTGTGTTTAGAGCTGAAGTGCCATGATATCTGCAAGTTCCTTCCAAATAGTTAAGCAAAAACAAAGTGAGTGTGTGTATATACTTATAAAGAGAGATATGTAGCAAAATAAACAATTGATGGATCAACCCAAAGAATGTCTGAAAAGTTAAAAAAAATTTTTTTTGAAAAGTTAAAATTTTATTTAAAACAACTGGTGAAGAAAAATGTTTGGGGATATAAAGCTCATGTTTTCTGCTAATTATAGATCCTGCTGTTAACTTCAGAAATAAGTCAATGCATTCACTTTTGTTGGCAGAAAATTTTCTGAAAAATAAAAGAAAAATGTGAGTAAGTAAAAGAATGGAAAAGGAAATACCACCCAAACAAAGGAAAACAAGAGACTTTAAATGCAAAAAGGAAAATAGGTCACTAAAAATAATAAAAGATGTATCTATTTCAGACTTTTATGCATATAATTACAAAGACTCAAATATATAAAACAAAAATTTACAGAATTACAAGAATCTGACAAACTCACAATCACAGTGGGAATTTAAAGCAAAATAGAGAAAGACTCATAGATAGAGAGCAGGATGACAGCTATAAAGGGGGCGTCAGTTGGGGGGCTGGGTGGGGACAGGTGGAGGGATTGAATAAAAAAGAAAAAGGAAGAAAAAACTCATGGACACAGACAACAGTGTGGTGATTGCCAGGGTGAGAAGGAGGGGGAGGAGGAGGGGTGGTAAAGGAGGGTATGATGGGATAAATGGTGATTTATGGAAACCTGACTTTAGGGTGTACACACAATACAGTATACAGATGATGTGTTGTAGAATTGTGCACCTGAAAACTGTCTAATTTTGTTAACCAGGGTCACCCCACTAAATTCGCTAGAGAGAAAAAAAAATAACTTTCTCCACAATTTATAGATTTAGCCACTAATAATATTCATGGTGATATAGAAAAATTGTAAGTTTAATGGACATTTATAGAACCCTACATGCAATTAGAATATACAAAATCTTTTCAGCCTCACATGAAACATTTAAAAATGGATCATGTTCTCTATAACATAGAACAAAACTCAACAAATACTAGATTATCAGTATTATATAAACCATAATGTCTGTACTATGTTTAATTGGAAAAGAATAACAAAATGTTAAGCTAAAAAAGATTCATGCACCCATGTCTTGATTTCTAAGTACCATTTCCCATTAGAAGGTATCAGAGTTCCACAGAGAAATGGTTAATGAAGCAGGAAATACAAGATAGGCCTGAAAGTAAGGAAGTTAATATATTGTGAGGTCAAAGTATGTATCAAACAATGATAGGGACATGTCAAAAAGACAGGGAAGCCAATTTGAGTTGGCTACCATGGATAAATCTAGGAAATGAATAATCAATAATGATAAAAATAGGACAATCATGAAATAAAGTAAAAAATATGTTTCCAAACTAATATAAATAAATAAAAAACAAATATATGGACAAAAAATCTCTTCCTTGAAATAGAATACCAACTAATAAATGCAGTAAACATGATGGAGTTTGAAAATTACCATTTTGCAGTCATCACAGTAAAAACTGAGTCAGTCAAGATTTGTCAGAGGCTGTCAAATCAGTGGATTTTAGTTTGTTGAGAAACAGGATATTTTACCCAGTTTCAAAGTATCGCCAGCAAAACCGTTAACTGCAAAGAGAAAAATGATAACTTTATAGTGACTGAATCTAGCAAGCATTATCTTAACCAAGTAATCAAGGTTAACATTATTTCTAAGGGGTCAAACCAGTATCATGTGCCACTGATATGATGCCCTGAGAACAACACAACATTACTTCTCTGGTTTTCCTGCCAAAATGCAAAAAAAAAAATATAATAATGAGAAAATGACACACAAACTTCAATTGAGAGGCATAATAATTTTCCTGAATTTTAAAAAATTGTCAATGTCATGAAAGACAAAGATAGGTTGTACTATTTCAGGTTAGGAAAAACTGAAGAGACATGAAAACTAAATGCAATGGATAATCCTAAATGAAAACTTTACTAAGAAAATAGCTATAAAAGACATTAGTGGGACAACTGGTCAAATTGGAATATGGCCTAGATCCGTGGTCGGCAAACTGCGGCTCGAGAGCCACATGCGGCTCTTTGGTCCCTTGAGTGTGGCTCTTCCTAAGCCTTAGAGTACTCTAATTAAGTTAATAACAATGTACCTACCTATATAGTTTAAGTTTAAAAAATTTGGCTCTCAAAAGAAATTTCAATCATACTGTTGATATTTGGTTCTGTTGACTAATGAGTTTGCCGACCACTGGCCTAGATCATATAGTGGAACACAAATTTCCAACTATATTACAAAGATATAGTAGTCAAAACAGTGTGGTATTGGAGGCAGGTTCAAGATGAAGCAGAAGAGGACTTTGAACCTGTCCCTCCCACAAACACTTAGATGTAGAGCAATTCTTCCTGATAACTGAAGGTTGACTGAACAGTTTCTGCACATCAAACTAGAAAGAGAAACTGCATGGAGAAGGATGGGGAACCACAACAGCTCTCTGGGATCTGTGGGACCTCTCCGGAATCGAAGGTGGCGGTGAGCACCATTGTTAACCTTCCCCTTCCCCCTAAATAGTGCAGATTGGACCTCTATCCAGGTGCTTCCACAGACCTGCAAAGCTGCTGCAGGACTTTCCCAGCATATTCTCAATCTGGCCTAGGATACCCAGGGTGCCACTGCACGTACCCACAGTGGGATGACTCACCCAGAGCCTGCTCCAGCCCTGAAAGCCAGACCAAGAAGGGGTCACCACATGCATATGCGTACTGGGCTGCCTTGCCCAGAGGCTATACCTGCCTCAGACAGCTGAAGCACTGTTGCATGTGCACACACTGAGCACACCACCTGGAGCCCACTTCAGCAAGGACAGCTCTACTAACAGGGAGTCACTGCAAGTTCAAGTGCACTGGGCCACCCTGCACCAAGTGTGCAGTGGCCCCAGCCAAGCAGTGTACCAGGTGCTGCTTGTAGCCAATATGACTCCAAATGGCCTGCCAAAACCACCTTGTACACACAGTTTAATACAAGAACCACTTTTTCAAGATTGGAAGAGAAAGCTACTCAAGCTAAGTAAACATAAGCAAAATGAAACTTTGTAGAATTGAAAAGCTTCTGCACAGTGAAGGAAACTATCAACAAAACAAAAAGACAACCTACTGAATGGGAGAAGATATGCACAAATGATATACCCAATAAGGGGTTGATATCCAAAATATATTAGGAACACATACAACTCAATTACAAAAAAGGTAAACAACCCAGTCAAAAAAAAAATGGGCAAAGAACATGAAAAGACATTTCCCCAGAGAAGACATATAGATGGCCAACAGATATAAGATGCTCAATATCCCTAATCATCAGGGAAATGTAAATCGAAACCACAAAAAGATATTACCTCACCCATATCAGAATGGCTATATATATATATATTATATATATATGCCCAAACAACTGTTATGATAAGTCGACTGAACTACCAGTTGACCATTTGCTATGATGTGCACTGACCACCAGGGAGCAGATTCTCAACGCAGGAGCTGCCCCCTGGTGGTCAGTGCACTCCCACAGCCAACCTCCCGTGGCTGGCCAACCTCCTGCAGTCCCTCCCCTAAGCTGGCCGGCCCTGATCAGCCATAATTGGGACTGAGTGAGATGGCCCCGATTGGCCCCCAATTGCTGGCCAGGCCAAGGAACCCCACCCGTGCATGAATTCATGCACCAAGCCTCTAGTGATCAATAAATCAACAAACAATAAGTGTTGGCAAGGATGAGGAGAAAAGGGAATAGACATGCACTGTTGGTGGAATTGTGAATTGGTGTAGCCTCTATTGAAAACAGTATGGAGTTTCCTCAAAAAAAATTAAAAATAGAACTAGCATATGACCCAGCAATTCTACTTCTGGGAATCTATCAGAAAAGTGAAAATAGCAATGTGAACAGATATATGCGCCTTCATGTTCATTATAGCATTATTTACAATATCCAAGATATGGAAGCAAAACCTGGGTATGCATTGTTAGATGAATGGATAAAGAAAATTTGGTGTGTGTGTGTGTGAAGATTTGATATATATATGACTGGATATTAGTCAGAAAAAGAATGAAATCTTACCATTTGATACAACATGAATGGATCTAGAGCAGCGGTTCTCAACCTGTGGGTCGCGACCCCTTTGGCGGTCAAACGACCCTTTCACAGGGGTTGCCTAAGACCATCCTGCATATCAGATATTTACATTACAATTCATAACAGTAGCAACGAAAATAATTTTATGGTTGGGTCACAACATGAGGAACTGTATTTAAAGGGCCAGAAGGTTGAGAACCACTGAGTGATATGCTAAAGTGAAATAAGTCAGAGAAAGACATCTAAGTACCTTATTATTTCACTTATATGTGTAACCTAAAAATCAAAACGAAAACAGATTCATAGATACAAAGAATAAACTAATGATTGCTAGAAGGATGGATGTATAGGGGATGGGTAAAAAATGTTAAGATGAGTAAGAGGGACAAAATTCCAGCTGTAAAATAATAAGCCACAGGGATATAGTGTACAGCATAGGGGATATAGTCACTACTGTAATAACTTTGTATGGTGACAGATGGCTACTAGACTTAGTGTGCTGATCACATTGTAAGGTATATGCATGTCGAATCATTATATTGTACACTAATATAATATTGCATGGCTACTAAACTTTAATAAAAATTTATAAAAAGAGCAGTATGGTACTGGCATATAAAAAGACACTTAAACCAACAGAAAAGAATCAAGAGCCCAGAAATAAACCCCCACATACATGATCACCTAATATTTGACGAGGAAGCCAAGAGTACTCAATGAAGAAAAGCTAGTCTATTCAATAAATGATGCTGGAAAATGGATATTCACATGGAAAAGAATAAAACTGGAGCCCTATCTTACACCACTCGCAAAAATCAATTCAAAAGGGATTGAAGACTTAAGGTAAGACCTGAAACCGTAAAAGTCTTAGAAAAAAAAAAGTCTTTGTGAAAAAGCTTGACATAGGTCTTGGTAATGATTTTATGGATATGACACTACAAGAAAAAGGAATAAAGGAAAAAATAAACAAGTAGGACTGCATCAAACTAAAGGCTTCTATACAGCAAAAGAAATGATCAACAGAGTATAAAGGAAACCTGTGTAATGAGAGAAAATAATTGCAAAGCACATATCTGATAAGAAATTAATACCCCAGCCCTAACGGGTTTGGCTCAGTGGATAGAGCGTTGGCCTGCAGACTCAAGGGTCCCAGGTTTGATTCTGGTCAAGGGCATGTACCTTGGTTAGGGGCACATACCCAGTAGGGGGTGTGCAGGAAGCAGCTGATCTATGTTTCTCTCTCATCGATGTTTCTAACTCTCTATCCCTCTCCCTTCCTCTCTGTAAAAAATCAATAAAATATATAAAAAAAAGAAATTAATACCCCAAATATAAGGATCTCATACAACTCAACAGGAGAAAAATAAGTAATCCAATTTTAAAGATATACAGGGCCTGAATAGACATTTTCCCAAAGAAGATATTCAAATGGCCAACAGGTACATGAAAATTTGCTCAGAATCACTAATCATCAGAAAAATGCAAATTAAAACTGCAGTGAGATATCTCACATGTCAGAATTACTACCGTCAAAAAGACAAGCGATGACAAATGTTGGCATGGATGTGGAGAAAAGGGAAGCATGTATACTGTTGGTGGGCATGTAAATTACATATACTATGGATAACAGTATGGAGGTTTCTCAAAGAATTAAAAATAGGACTACCAAAGGATCCAGCAATTCTACTTCGGGGAATATAGCTGAAAAAAATGAAATTACTATCTCTAAGAGATATCTGCACCCCAATGTTCACTGACTGCATCATTATTTCTAATAACCAAACATTGAAACAAACTAAATGCTCACAAAGAGATGAATGAACCAAAAATGTGATATATATATGTGAATATTATCTATACTAATAATAGCCTAGGGCCGGCACGTCCGGAAGGAGGACCAAACGCGGAGGGGAAGGAACTGCGGGCCTTGCGAGGTCATTTGCCTCTGGCCCTGGCCCAGCGGAGGCCTAATGACCTCGCCTCTGCGTCCGAGGTTGACTCCAGCAGGACCTGGGCCTTCCCCTCTGTGGACCAGAGGCCCTGTTCCTGATACCATGTCCCCAGCATCTCTCAGACCCGTTTGTGGAAGTCAGAAAACACTGCGTGTGGTCATCCCGCCCTGGGGACTCCCAGGGCTGACAGCAAGGGTGGGCTTCTGTGGGGTCCCCTGAGTTATGCGATCCAGGGTCGCTACATCCTAATGGTGACTCTGGCAGGACTTGGGACGGTCCTCTGCGTACCTGAGGTCCTGCTCCCTGTACCAAAGCCCCGGAGTCCCTGAGACCCGGATGCAGGAATCGCCTGTTATTGATTCCCTCCTCCTCTGCACCCACCCCGCCTCATCCACCTTGGAAACCTGTCTCGGATGCGGTGTGTGTGCCTGGAGCCCACCCTGCCCCCGGGCCTGAACCGCCAACAGGCCTGGGCCTGGGCCTGGGCCATGGACAACTTCCCTGCGCTGAGCCGCCCCTCCTGCGACCCCCTCCTGCGACCCCCTCCCCCC